CAGAAGCTATAAACATTTTTAATACCTCAAAATTATTTTTATTGATAGATATGACCAAAATACTGTGAGAGTTTTTTTCTGTCTATTGTAATAATCTTATCAGTTATTTTTTCTTCATGCTCTGAATTATAGCTTGAAGTTCCTTTTTGTCTTAATTTGATTTTTTTTTTTTTTTGCAAGTTCACATCAAACTTGAATTTTACCTTCTTGGTCTTATCGTAAGTTCTTTGTGCTCAAATTTGTTCTGGATTATGTATTCCTTTTGTTTTGTAAATATTGTATTAAAATACAAGTTTCTGTGTAGGCTATGCTGGTTTCTTTTGATGTTTCTTAAGTTCTGGAATCATTTAGTTTTAGTGTTAGGGAGATATGAGGAGGGGACCCTGACTGGTTCTTCTGTTTCCAAGTCTTGTGTTCCTCTAGTAATATTTTTTCAGGCACATTTCTTCAACTGGTGCATTATAGCTCTGGATTAGGTTCTAAACATCTGTTACCTGGATTATTTCAGCAGGGTCACACTTAGGCTGGCTGCCTTCTTTATAGCTTAAAAAAAATTCCTTTCACAGTAATAAGCATATTTTATAGGCTGAAGTAAAAATCTTTTAAACTGACTTTTTTGGGAAAGCTTTCTTGTTTTGGCTTTTCATTTCTTTTCTAAACATAAATTGAGAGAGAAACCTTTAGGAATTCCCCAAGGTTAGGCTCTTAATTTATTTTTATTTATTTATTTCTTTTTTTTTCCTGTAGCCCACTTACCAAGTGAAGGCTCTTAATTTAAATCCATGGTTTATACATTGAATAGCTTAAGTATTTTTAAAATGGGTTTGTACTTTAGCATATCTTAAAACTGTGTATTTTTTGTTAAATATTTAATATCACTTTATGAAGTTTCAAATGCCTATTTATTTTAAAACTTAATTCATCTAAACAGGGGAGGAGAACCTAGTCATGTTCCTTTTAGCACCACCAACGTTCATCTTACCTGTGCTGTGTCCAGAGTGCTCCTGCTATATAGATGCTTGCAAATTTTGTATAATTGTATGTTCATTTTCATGTGTATATATTTTACAGCTGTGTCTATATTTCATTTATTTAAGATCTGGACGTTGGTAGTTGGCTATGTGTTGACTGTTTCATTCAAGTGGAATGCAAGCACTGAACGCTACTTGAGAGCAGTTTCAATTCCTGTCTGGATTATATTGCTTTTTCATTTAGGTGGGTTCTTTCTTTTTTAAAAAAAGTCAAGTTTAAGATCA